TTTTTTTTTTTTTTTTTTTTTTTTATGGAAACAACTTCAATTTTATTTTGTTTTATTAATTTCTTCAAATTCATCAACTTTATCACACATTAATAATTACTCACTCCACTCATTACATTTTCTTACTTTGTTAATTCCATTGCACACATCAAGATTAAAACTCCATGGAGTACAATAGAAGCCTTGATTTGTGTACTTCTTACTTATTATTACTCTTTCCATTTTAAGTGATACTTTTCGAATTTTGAGAAATAAATTTATCTTTAGTTATAATTTTTTTAAGTTTTTTCATAAATTTTATAAACATTTTGAATTATCAATTATTATGACTCATAATATTTTTTACATAATTTACAAATATATAAATTTTATTTCAAAAAGATTGAAGATTATATGCGCAAATTATATGTCAAACTTAAACTATTTGACTCTCAAAGAAATGAAAAGTATCACATAAATTGAGATAGATAGATAGAATAGTAATATTGTCGTTGTTGATAGTAAAAAAATCAAATACTCAAACAATTGAATTATCAAAATCTCTTTCGATTTAGATTACTTTATTTGTAAGAAAGGAGAAAAATTGTCAAAGTGATTTATTTCAAGTTTTCTTAATACTTGACCGTTTGAATAATATTTAATTAAGGGAAAAGGCTCAAATTATGCTATTGAATTTTCAGAAATTCTTATTTATATCATCAGTTAAAAGTTTGGCTCATTTATGTTATTACCGTTAAAGAAAATGCTCATTCATGCTATTATTTTTTAACAATGGTTTTGCAAAACCATTTTTGACACGTGGACAATTATAATTCGACCACGTCATCAATTTTTTTAATAAAAGAAAATCCTTTAAAGTGTTAGACTAAGAATAAGTTTAGGAATGAAGATATTTGAAATACGGTGAGAGTGACCTCCATAGTGGATAAGACGAGAAAAGTGAGATATTATAGGCACGTGAAAAGGAGATGTAGACTTCTCAATTAGGAGGCGTGGGAGATTGATTAATGGTGTGAGTCGAGAGATGTAAAGGCAGACCAAAGAAGTATCTGAGTATTTTCTAGCGAGATCAACTTGGTGGTCATACTCGTACCTATTTTTACCAATAGTATTAGGCACTATTCTATAGTTTCTTCTTCTATTTCAGTTATCACTTTGTTGTTCTCGATTATCACGCTATTCCATTGACATTACTATTCACTCTTCTATATGTTACACATATTTCATTGATGTTACTACTTTAATTTCTTCACTCTCTTTTTCAAACTGATTTGCACAAAAACCTCTGGTAAACTTCTCTATCTCTACGATGTAGATATGAAGGTCTACATATACTCAACTGCACTGCGCATGTTTTTTTCAAGGCAAGTGTCAGACTTAACACTTCTCGTTACTAACAAAATGAGGTTCAAAACAATCGATCCAACAACATAAAAGTTGAAAAGAAACTAATGCCAATGCTCAATAAAATGATTTCAGGGACATTCAAAAAAAGATTAAACCACATCCTCAATAGATCAAAGTAGGCTAAGGTATACCTCAGTCTTCACCATTTATGGTATTTATCTTGTACAAATCGAGGGGGAAATCAACGAGGCTACAATGTAAACTAATAACGAAATATAGCATACAACTCTCCAAACTGGTGACACCCTGTTGGTCAAAAGGACCAAACCTCATATCATTCGTTCTTGACCGAAAATCAGTTACCTAGACAAATTTTTCATGTTGCACTACAAAATCATCATCACAGGATTTGGGCAGCAGTGTTCAGTTTTTCTGCAAAGCTCAGTTGTGTCCTTGTGAGGCTTGCCAAATAGAGCAAGAGCAATTGATCCTGCAAGAAAAGTTTAACTCAGGTTCAGCCAATCCAGCCTGATTTAAGCTTCATGCATATTAATAGTAACTGACAGATTCATTAGACGCAAGACGTTCAGGGTGTGCCCACATCCACACAATAATTCTACGACCACTCAGAGCAACTTCAACTTTTTGCTTGGAAGGAACTTACAGCCCTAGCCCCTAGACCATTTTTTGTAGCACAAACACTTCATGATATTGCAACTAGACCCTTACTCTACATTCTATTAACACAACAGAATCACAATGTTTTGTCCAAATACATGTACTTAATATGAAAGATCATATAGTATTCTATCATAGAAAACTTAAACTGTAAACAGAAAACAGAGAAAAAAAAGGAAGAGCTGAGTGGAGAGTGGGGAAGGCCTGGTGGTTGGGGAATGAAGTTTTTTAATTAAAGCTAAAGAAAATAACCAAGACTGAAGTCTAACAAGGAGAGGAAATGGTCAGGAATGAAAAGTACAATAGACCCGTCGAAATTCGCACTTAATGAAAATTCAAAAGCAAACAAAAAGACTACATTTTCCAGATTCTCTACCGAAGATTGACACCTCTCAGTTTTCACTTCACCTTTGAAGAGGCAGTAAAAGTCGTATGATTAAGCTGCTGCTGGTCAATTAAGGGTGATGTATTAGGTTGGACGGGGCACTATTTCAAACTGGGAAGGAGGAAAGGGGAAGGGGCCTAGATGGTTAGGATAAGGGGTAAGAACCTGCAGGGTGGAGGGGCCAACTACCAAGATAAGTGCGCATGGATTGGAAAAGTCATGGCAAGAAGAAAAGGGAAGAGACTCTCACTTTGTTCTCATACCTAAAATTGTTCAAGTAGAATGAGAAACTTTAATGTTTTAGAAATTGAAGCAAAACTTGCTAAAAGGATTAGCTCCAGGCAGAAATTGCAACAAAGCTAAGTGGAGGGAGAGTGAACTACATATCATTTCCACAAATTAACCACCAAAAGGTGATTCCTGACATTTCTAACTACAGTGCATAAAAACTAGGGAGAAATAAAATAATGTCTACATTCGCACTTTTTTTCCCCATCTTTTCCACTTGATTAGGCAGGGTGGAGAGGGAATAGGGAGAAAACATTGGATTTTAGCAAAATCCAATTTAAAGGTAACAAACAACTACCTCGAGACCATCATTAACAAGCTTATCGAAATCTTGAGATGAGAGCTTGGGAAGGGAAGCCACGGTATCAGATATGAACCTTCCAATTTTATTGTCTTGTGGCACGCGTCCCTCCTGAAAAGGAATATCAATATTGAAAATGACTTAAACAGGAGAAAAACAAGTAAAAAAATTGAGTACTGCAAGTGCAAAATTTGAGTATGGCAAGTTCAGTTACCACAACATCATCAACATATTTGTAGATGTCATCAATCAGAGCAAGTAATCGTTGCATTGAGGCTTCCATTCCTTCAAGATCGTTGGGAAGTTTCTCTACCGCAGTCGTCTTAAGTATATCAACTAAAGTAAAGGAGAGTAAGAGAACTCCAGTGAGAAACTTCATTGTGCAAACTGCAAAGGTAATTAACATGACTTGTGCTCTCTAACTCTTTCTCCCACAAAACACAGAGAAGATGCTACTTCTTACTCTTTATATTGGAATATATTTAGAGTATGGCTACTTTTGCATTTCTCCTTCGGGTGGATGACAATTAAATCACCAAAATTATTACAATATACTAATGTACTGGGGATTCAGTAAACTGCTAAGCAAAAATTCATTACCACTTCCCAAACAGATTCCTCACTCACCCACCCCCAACCCCTTATAGTTCAGTCAACTACAATTTCCTGACATCAGTTTATGGCAAAAAATCAAAAAACAAAAAGAAAACACAAAGAATATGCAAGAGAAAATAGAGTGTTCTATATGGTACGGGATGTAAATGGAGACATACATCCAATCCTTTCAGCTTCAACCATGCGCAGATCCAATGGAATTTCCTGAAATTGTGCAGCAAGCTGCTGATCTCCAATAGACAAATGCACAGAAACAAAACCTTTTACAGAAGCTTCTCCATTTGTGAATCCAGTGTCAATGGTCAAATGTATCGGATTTGTAGTTTCTCTAGAAAAAAACTCATGAATCAAAGCACTACCACCTGTGACTCCGAAACCAGTAGAAAACCTGTGAAGTCAAAGTATCAGATATTCACAGTTTCATTAGCTCTAGCATTACAACCTTTGACTCATTCACTACTACATAAAGTAGAAAGTTCACAGATCAATGAATGACTTTGGTGGATGCACTAAATATTCAAGACAAACGGAAGTTAAAAGCAATTACAAAGTATGGACAGATGACAGCAAGAATCGAGTATGTAATATGCAACATATAGTTACCAGCGCCCAGTACTATTAAGTCATGAAGACAACAAGTAGGTGTATTCTGTTATGGAACTATTTGTACAGTGATTTCAGTTTTCCTCTATGAAGTAAACAAGATTTATTGCACTTTGGGCATAAACACCCAAATACTAGTAGTGGTACACAAAAAATAGAAAACCTAAAAAAAGATTATAATTGTCTACACATACCTAATCTCCTATACATAAAGGAAACACATGATGCACCAATAAAAGGGGGTTAAGAGGCTATTCCTTAAAGTGCAAGAACATTTATACTCCTTCAAAAGCTCTCTTATTTCTTTTTCTACATACTACCCACATAAATGTGAGTGGAGCAACCTTCCAAACCCCACTTCTCCTCCTCTGCCTTGCCTAGTTTCAGGTGAACAGTTCTTTCACTTAATACTTAATAGATTGTATTCCAAACCATCTCAAAATTTTCCACCATAACCGAGAAGCTAACAGATAATATCGAAGAAGATGATCCACGTATTCACTTGAATCCTTACCCATGAAACAACAACTGACGTAGGTAACCTCTTCTTCCGCAGGTTCTCAGCCATCAAAATTACTCCTTTTGTGGATCCTCCACCTCAAGTTCTTAACCGAAATCACCCTTTTTGTTGCTAACTAAGTGAAAAACACAGCTTTCTCAGAATCCTAGGATCCATGCCAATGAATGTGGAAAGGCTTCCTCTTTTATGATCAAAAGCTTCTCTTAAAATGACTCAGCAGAAAATACCCCATTTTTTTTTAAGAAGAAGATACCCCATTGTTCACGTCCTCAACATGCAAACATCAAGATGATCCTATGGTGTTCTTTGTTTGTGAAATAATTCAACTTAATTCCATCACCTTCCAATCTTGGGAATTCCTCCTAAAACTCATGTCCCAAAATACTTCTCTATCTTGTAGCCTCTGAACTTGTTGGACTGTTAACTCTTAACATGATAACTCAAAAAGTGAGAAAGAAAATAAGTCTCTCAAAATGTTATTCTCGCGTTACAAGTTACTCCCAAAGACCAACCTTCCTCCCACCCCCCAGCCACCACTAAACAGTCCCCAACTTTTTAAGATATTCCTCCACATTCTGCACCCTAAGGCATATTTCACAGCTTTTGTCCTACAACCCCCATCCAATACCCCCCATATTTCGCCATTATCACATGTCTCCACTCTCCACAAAGCAAGTTCACCAACGCAAACCTCATCCAACCATTTCTCACACTAAAGCCTAGTTGAAACTGAAGACATGTCACATTTATTGGAATCTCTATTGCCTTCTTCCTGCTTTCACACATCATTGTCATTCTTTCCAACTTCTTCCAAGTGTATACACATTAAATTGGAGGTATCTTCAAATAACATAAAAAGTGTCGTGACTAAAGCAAAATAGTAATCAAGCATAGTCTGTTAAGCCGTCTATACAAATAGAACTTAACAACCATATCTTCATTTGTGTTTGACAGGCTCATTAGCAAATGTGAATGCAAGCACTCGATTACATCTTTCCATGTATCATAAATACACCTCCAACGCTCTCCTGCCAATCCCCAGCTACAAATTCACAAATATATCATCCTTCATACTTATTGCTAGTCGGTTAGCTAACTCGATAGATACCTATCAAGGCCTTAAACAGAAGGAAAGGGAGAAAACAAAACAGCCAGAGTGAACATTTCGAAAGAGCAACAAAATTAGGAAATAAAATGAAGTTTCACTATATGCTTCCCATAAAGACATCCCTCCAAAAACATAATACAGGAAGCTCTCTTGAAAAACATAGTCCCCGTCGCATCCTTATCCTTGCTAGAACTACAGCATTAAGTTTTTTCACCTACTTATTGCAGAAGATACTTTCTCTTTCCTTCAAAGGTCACAACTCACAAGACCAAAGTATAAAGGGGTGATATATGTATATAAAAACCTATGGAAATCCACTGCAATTTGTAGACATGAAAGTATGTAGGAGAAGGAAGTCATTCATTAGTCCCATGAATGAGGGCACTGAGCACTTGCTACAAGAATTTTGTATTTTAAAAAATAAATTATTCAAAAAAAATAGAGAAATATATTAGAATGAGAACATCAAGACTACTGTAAGTCACCGAATGTTTAGAATATTGTACAAAAATTATTTATGTATACATATATGATGGCTACACACTCACATATAATATGGCTACACACTCACATATAATATGGTCAAATACTTCAAAAGAAATCTAGAACAGAAATTGTTAAAAGTAAAGGTAGAACATCAAGAAACTACTGTAAGTTACAGAAACATTTAGAATATAGAACAAAATATTTATGTATACATATATGATGTCAACACACACATATTATGGTCAATACTTCAAATAAAATCTACAACAAAAAATATAAAAAGATAAATGACAGAGTTGTGTAGAGCATTTCTAGAACGCATTAGGCATCATTGAGAATTAAGCCACCTATGGTCATCTGTGGTAGTTTCCCCCAAAAAGGTCCCAACTTTGCCACTTAATATATATATGAAATAAATGTAGCATATGTTCACATTTCAAACATCTTTTTCATCTATCATGGTAATGTACACTAATGCAGCAACACAGAAAAGTACCCAAATCTGGAAATAGTTGGAGCTAAGACAACACAAAGAAACATTAAACCAAAATATAAAACGGAAAGGTGGAATTACCATCCAACAATGACTTCCTTTGGATTCACCTTCTGATGAGATGATAACATATTGTGATGATAATCAATATCCAAGGCAACCTAAAATCAAGGATAAAATATCCAGAAAAAGGTCATCAAGAGCATTACAAACATCCAAAAAGAAGTACGGTCCATTATTTTCACACCAAAAAAATATGGTCCGGAATAAAAATGACATTGTCGCGCATATCGCAAAGTTAAGAACACAAAGCAACATGGGGAAAAGGGAAAGAAAAAAGATATAGCAATTAGGCAGAAATTGCTCTCTATCGAAATGTTGTCAAAGGCTTGCTTCTTGCATGCTTAATCTCAATATCATGCAAATTAGGCACTTAACCAGTGCTGTCAAAGACAAAAACCATACAAAACTGCACAATGTCTACTGGGGCCCTAAGTACAAATTAGAATTAAAACATGAGCTTTAGTAAAGAAAGGAGCAACAAAAAAAGCAACAATAAGAACAAACAACAATCACATCGAAAAAGAAAATAGAATAAATAACAACCAAGTAGAATAAATGAAGTGAAAATCGTTAAATTAACTTTAAAGCCTGACATAATTATTTAGATGCAGTTTTATGTTTTAGCCAAGTCAATTGACTTCTATTAACTTCAGACCAAAGAATTTTTATTTTTTTTCCTTCAGACCAAAGAAAGATGTAAGGTGACATTTTCACATCAGATAAATTTCCTTTCATATAAAGTAACAAATTTATTATGAACTTTTTTCACAATCAATATCTCTCTGCCTGTTATATTTATTGTTTATATAGTTGACGTCTTCAAGTAGAACCCATGGGCATACACGTGCATGCTTTAGTTATTTGATACATACACTGAAGTGCCACCCAAGTGAGGAAAATACCCATCACAGGCTTGACGTTGCGTGAGGCTTAAGGGCTTTACGAATGAGCCTTTAATAGCAGTAGGCACTTTGTCTCGATGATATAACATTTACTTTTAGTCCAGGCACCTATGTTTTAACTTTTGAGGCATGCACATTAATACTCACATATTAATCCTGAAGAAGGGATCAGTAAAAATAAAGCTAAGAAATGAGTAAACTGCACAGGAATATTAGGAATGGATATGATTTAGTGAATAGATATCGGAAATTTTGAAGAATCAGAAGAAAACACCACGCTGATATCACTTTGAAACTCAACGCTTCATTTTTGTAACAAAGTGGTGGTTGAGCTTGATTTATAAAGTTTATAGTTCATATATTCCACTTATTGTACTGTCTTCCAATCTTAATTCTAAAATGTGTAATGCTAGTTATTTTGTTCCTTTCATTATATACCACATGCTTTAACCACGCCCTGTGCTTAAGCTCTAGTGGACACTGAGCCTTTAATGCTTTTGGCATGTGGAAACGCTTCATTGAAAATATTTCGTAAGATCATTCAGCTCTTTACCCATATCACAACTATCAGTTAGTTTCAGGCAAATAATCCCAAACAAATCAAACTAAATACATATATAGGTGGTTTATGTTAGCTTTTACATATCTATTTATTATAGGAAATCCTCATAGAGCCATTTTCCTCATATTCCAAGTAACTAAAATGACCAACAACATTTCGTCTTCATGCAATCATTGGCATTTATTGCAATAAGGACCTCCTTTCTCTTTAGTTCCCTATTGAGTGGTTCAATAACTATTCGTGTGTCAAGCCCCGCTTTTTTCAAAACCACCAAATAAGGATTTGCTACTAATTACTATGATAGAATGTGTTACCTTCCCAAGAAAATGGTAAAATAATACTACAAGGAGGCACAGGCACGCCCAAGAAGTCTTTCAGCAGTACATTATCCATGCTTAAAAGAAAGATACCCAGGATTTCATCTTTGGCTTCTCATGGAAAAGGAAACAAAATAGAAAATTCATATTGAAGAAAGAAGTTTGTTGTAGAGTTTCACTCTTTTTTTTGGATAAACATGATGTAGTATTTCACACTTTTTTTGGATAAGTAAAGGACATGAGGTAGAGTTTCACACTCTTGCTAGCAGATTTTAAGATATCTCAGTCAACTGTCCCAATCCCCTCTGTTTTTTCTTCTTTATAATCTTTAGAAGATATTCATATTCTCCTCCGATCTATGTGCATTTACCTTCCTCACGTTCTTTGTAAAGATTGATAATGGCCACTATGATTGGTAAACATACAATGACATTTAAAATACTAGAAACCATAAAAGAAGAATTACGGAACTGGTGAACATCAAATATTTACATAATGTAGTAGGATCACTCCTCTTCTGTCAAAGTCATTGCCTCAGTATCAATCCGCAATACAATCAGGGCTACCTATTCAAAAGAAGGCTGATTTCTTTCTAACATGACACAAAAGTATTTCGTGTTGTGCAAACATGGCGCCAAAAATTACAAGTTCCGATACAACGATTAGGCATTTGACAGGTTGATTGATGCAATCAAATAGGATACTATTCGCAACTTCTGCCAATTATCTGTTCCCTTGTTTCTTCCATTACTTAAGCACAATATTTATCATTACACTCATTTGTTTGTTTTCCCTAGAACTATGATCGTTTGAAAACAAAAACAAAACAGAAAGACACATTTTAAGCTACAGAGGAAGCACTAGTATCGTATATTATCCATACAAAATCCTATTGTTTAGTATTTGGTGTGCATGTTTAACCATTAAGCTATGCATACAAAACACAAATTTCTCTTTATGAGAAATCGTAAATACACACAAGACACTAGAAATTACTCACAATTTTTGCACTAAAACTTAAAATCTCTATTCAGCAACTCATCTAGAGTAATCCTCTTTATATCATAAATTTACTGAAATTTACACAATAGCATAGTCTCTTCTCTATTCTCTCTCATTATCCTGCCCCCAAACTTCTGTACCTCTATCTCTGTCATTTTGAAATTAAAAATGAAACTACTGAACTAGCAGATATTCATCACAAGTCCAAAAAAAAGCCTAAATTGACCCCAAATAAGGAAGGAGAATTGTTTTTGAGAAAAGAACCTGATCTTGTGACTCGCTATGTGGAACAGCATAGGAATTGCGAATGTCTACAGTACCGTCAGGTAATACTGATCCAAGAAGAGTGCCAATGATTCGGTCGGCTTGATCGGGACGTCTGACAAAGCAGTCACATATGTTGAATATGACTAAAGGGTGAACCTTTGCGGATATGCCGGTTGAAGATGGTGAAAATTGCAGTATGGTATGATCACTGGAAGCCATTGTTGCTCGTAGGGAAGAAGGCCAAGACGGTAGGTGGTGGCGTTACTAGGGTTTATCGCGCAACGAGTGCAAAAGAGATTGAAGCAGATTTGGGCCCTTCACGAGACTACTTTTTTTCCTTTAGGCAAAGAACTTTAATATTTATCAAGTATTTACTATATATAATTATAATTTAAAAGTATTATAGTTCGTAGCTACCGTTAGAATCTTATAGTAAATTTCTATTTTTTCTCCTTCTCTACCTCGCCTCTTGCCTTTCTCTCTACTATACAAATCGTAATAGTTAATGATACAAATACTAACCGTCAATACTGCAAATGATACTATAAATACACACGATAACACATAACTATACACAAGGCAATAGTTGAATACAAATGTACATGAATAATAAAACAGTTTGTTACAAATTACAACAACGTTACAATTATTTTTGTTGATATAATTGCATTTATTGGTACAAATTGTGTTAATTAATATAGTTGATACAATTAATTTGCATCAAAGAATTGCATATAATAGTCCTTGATACAATTGTATTCATTGATGCAAATCAATTGTATTCGTGATACGCTTATCAGTTAGATTTAGATTTACAATGATTGATTTGATACAATTATATTTCTCTGATCTCTCTACTAAATGCCACTCGTCTCTCTCTTTACTCTCCTAGTTCGTAAGCCTCTATTCTCCTTTTAATATCTAGTTTTTTTCTTAAACAAATAAATTATATTTATGATTATCAACTAGATATATAAATCGTGATTATCTCCCTCTCTTCTACATCCTTCTCCTATTCTTGCTCACTTATTTACTCCTAGCTATACATCATAATTAGACAAAATATAATTAAGGAGCTTGATTATATTTTCTGGTCATAGATGCTTTTGAAATTTCCTCTCTTACTTATATATACTTACTTTTTACTTATCACTTTTCATTTTTTTACATGTATGCTTTTATGTCAATTAATTTTAAAATAAAGGTGTTATAATCATTTAAACAATAAGGGCGTTGTAGTCATTTAAACTCATATGATAAGAATGCTGCCTATTCTCCTATACGTGTCTTCAATGTGAAGATGAACACGTGACACTTTAAAGCTTTTTTCCTGTTTTTTGGTTTTTCTTATTCCTTCTCCAAAATGCTTTTTACATTTATAGAAAAATAAGTGAGTGGTGCTATTTTATGATATTTTTTTTTTAAAAAAAAATTTCTCCTCCTTTTTAAATTAAACCTTAGATAATTTTCAATGGAAGAACTCAATTTAATTTTGTTATCTCACTATGCTAGATTGAATTGCAAGATCTATAAGATTCTGTTTAGGGTTAGGAGAAATTTTGATTCTGATTTTTTTTGGGCTGAAACTGCTACTAAAATTTGAAATTCACAAACTAAGAACAACATTAATTTCGATTAATCTTTTATTATTGGACAAAAAAAATACTAATTTCGATTACTCTTTTAATATTATTGAAATCCGATGACAACAAGAAATTTTCTTTCGATTTTGATGGAAATTCGGGTTATTTGCATAGAATTTTTTTTCTTATATACTATTTTTTTCCCCTGTTCATCATTCCCTTCATTTGATTATGTCTCTTCTTTCAAGGCCCTATTATTTCCTGTTGTTCTTACATATCTTTTTATTTGCGTTTATTATTTAGATGTAACAGTGCTTGGACAGTAAAAGTAAGCAAACATTGTGTTATTTGTCGAAAATCACTGTTGCAAACGAAATAGAAATACGTTTCTACACTGTCTGCAGATGAAATACGAAAACAGTTCTTCGATCGACATCATCACAAGCTATTTATGCCTGAGTAAGTATAATTTTCTGATGATCAAGTTATTTTGATTTATTTTTTTCATATGATATCTCCGATTTTATTTATATTTTTAATGACCTGTAAGATATTCATTAGAAAATATACACTTTCTAGAATTATGGACATTTTCTAGAATTTTAAATATTTAAATTAAATTATAATCGGGTAAAGTCTTGAATTAAAGATAAATTTATAATGTTATTCATGTCTTTAAATAGGAGGATATTAAGAATGAATATGACAATGTAAAATGACTGAAAAAGTCATAAAGAGGGATAAATTAGCTTCATTTAGTTGTTATGTTCTCATTGCCAATGATCAATAATTTCTGAAATGAGACAAAATAGAAATACGGTTCTTTAACAACATATTTAGATACCGTTTCAACTACTGTGATTTAATTCTTTTTGCAATCTTATATTTTTATAAATATTATTTTTACCTTTTCTACTTATGTAACATACAAGATTCGTCACTACAAAAAGAATAATGGTAACCCTACCATTAACTACTTCATTTATGAATTTCATAGTAATAGAAATACATGTCCTACCGAGACAGAATTTGGAACAGGTCTAAAATCTTATTTGTTAAAATCGGAAGTATTGTGCCTCAGCTAACCTTCAATATAATGCATTGCTATCCATAAAACTTACATCCTTAGCAAATACCTTCAAAATATAAAAATGTAATAAGATTGTCTTCTTAATCTTAGTATTGTGCTTGTAACTCATGTTACATACCTGTAAATCATCTTCTAATTACTAGTATTATTTGTGAAATCTGACATTTACTCAATTAGTACGCAAATACATTTTTCACGTTGGGCCCGTGTGAGCACGGGCTATATTTTCTAGTCTTTTTATAAAACATTCTTTGGCACCTTATTGGGATGCCTACTTTTTTTTTCGAGAAAATCCCATAAATAACAACATTTACATCTATTCATCACATGTAGCAATAATTTTTTAAAATCGTGTTGTGTCATCGATATAAGTTTTTAAATTTTGTGATGTATCAATAATTACAATCATTTAATATGTTTTAAAATTCTCTTGAATCTTCTCTCCCGTCTAACCAAAAAAACTAAAAATCTTTACTTTAATGCAATAGCTGGAAAAAATATGATTTTTTCTTCAAAATGAGCAAAAGCTTTAGACTCTTAGCTAAGACTAGTTACTGAAAAAAGAATCATCAAAATATTTTTCAAATTGATTAATTAGCCAAAAATAATTATTATTCTTCAAAATACTTTTTCAAAAATTATTTTTCAAAATCAGCATGAGTTAAATATATGTAATAATGAAAAGTTGATATTGATCGAAAAAACTCAAACATCATTAAAAATAAGCATGAGTGAAAAATGAGTACATGCGTTTAAAAATAAATACAGATCAACAATAAATATAGATCAACAGTTGTTGAAAGTTTTCTTCAATGAACTCGCGAACCCATTGACGGCACAATACACACCTGTCCTAGTCCATCAACAAATTTGTTTCAACCTTTTTGTAATCCAAAAAATCCATAGAAGTAGAGAAACAGGTACTGTTCCATATTTTCTTTTGACAAACAGAAGTAACTGTGATCTCCAGATCACTGCAAAAATCTGAACATTATCTAAAACACCGGATTTTAGTTATACTTTTACTAGGAACTAGTTTCATTTCATCATTCTAAAACTTAAAACAGTTTCTCATTTAAACTGCTGATATCCATTTCAACAGACACTGTCTGCATCACCGAGGAAGCCTCTCTTCTCTAGCCTCGAGGGCATCCACCTCTTCCTTTGACAGGTGATCGACTACTGGTCCATATGCATCCCGTTCACTCATTTTCCTGAGAAGAGTCACATTTGAAATAAAATGAATTCCAAAACTGGATGTGTTGATGAGACACAATTGAATTGAAATATATATGGAAAAAAACCCGTTTTGATTTGACATTCATTTTTTATTGAGTGAGATTATTAAGAAAAAGCAAGAGTTGTACCGTTGGATACTTCCTTCAGGGTCGAATAGCTTCCCCAGGTCCAGTGCAGGCGAACCTACTTTACTGTAAAAAAGATAACTATGAGGAAAGAGATGTACCGAAGATAATATATATGTGATTTGATTAACCAAAGATCAACATAAACAACATAGCTCAATGACACTAACCTGGCTGAGAGGTGTTCCATTCCTTTGCGTCCTTTCTTATTTGTCCTGCTTTCTCTCATGAATGCAACACCTTGCTTCGCAATCTGAAAAGTTAAATGCCAAAAATAGTCAAAAACCTTGAAGTGACTGGCTTTTAACTATGAAAACATAGTTGAAATCCAGGTAGAAACAAAATGAATGATATGTTCTCACCTCATAAAGTTGTTCTCTAATTGCTATGGCAATTGCAGGCTACAAAAAAAGGAGTAAACTATCAAGAAGAAAGCATACCCAGTTTTTTAAAATTAAAAGGATACTGAAAAATGACAGTCTTACATAGTTGAACAGATTTTTTTGGGATGGAACTAGAACACTGGGTATTAAAGAAAGTAATTACCATGATTGTTTTCTAGGAGTAAAAAGTGAGAAAGTAACACTACAATTTAGTGTATTCCAAGAAGCTACACTACAAAATAGTGTCTCTTGATGGGATAATGTTGGGACAAAATCTCATTTGAGTAAGTAAGAATCAGGCACTCACTATCCATTTTCATTGTTCAAATCTTTGACAACATTAGAAACCAATTGTTCAACTATTTGACAACATGATATAATTAAAAACTCTGCCCTCCCTCTCTATAGTTAACCCAATAATGAAAGTTTCTTAAGGGTACTGAAGCAGGCTACCACGAGATAAAAGATCCTTTATCTAATGAGATTCAATATGGAACTCTTATATGTCCAGAGTTTACTCATACGTGAAATATATAGAGATATTCTAACACTTAAATTCAAAGGCCTACAATATCGAGTGGTTTTAATATCCCTAATGCAATTCTCTCAACATTGGCTTCTCACAGTTGTGTCAAGATAATCGATCTTTTCCTAAGACCAATATAACAAAAAAGAGACTCGGGGAACAAAGAATGAAATATAACAACTACAAGACAAGAACATTGTAAAAACATAACAATAGTAATTGTTTCCTATGTGGAACACGATCTCTAGAGTACTCATAGCCCAATATGTTGTCTGTATTTTTTAGGTTAAAGACCTATTATCCTACATTATTCATTTCCTTCCCAATATCTTTTTGATAAGGTAAGATTTGATTGAGAAAGGAACCACGATGGTACACATTACAAAAAAAAAATATCTATCACCAACATTCAGCCACATATCTTATATCTCCCCATCTCTTTCTAAGAATACCATGTATTGCTCCATATTTTACTTAATACTCTTTGTACACCAGAAATACATATTTACAAGACATCTATTCTTAGTCCTGGATTGTGAAATTAGGTCTTAGGCCTAACTCACACCCCAAAAGCTAGCTCAAACAGAGGAGGATTGTCCAAGCCTTATTAGGAGTCCACCCATCTCATTAACCACCATTGTGGAACTTTTATCATTCTTTAACACCCCACCTCACGCCCAATCACCGATGTGGGACTTCTGTCATTCTTTAACACCCCACCTCATGCCCAGTGCTTAGCATCTGGTGCGTGAGAAATTTTGATTTTTTTGGGGCCCCAACATCGGGTGAGGCTGGGCATGCTCTGATACCATGTGAAATTAGGTCTTAGGTCTAACTTACACCCCAAAAGCTAGCTCAAAGGGAGGAGGATTGTTCAAGCCTTATAAGGAGTTCACCTATCTCATTAACTACCGATGTGGGACTTTTGTCATTCTTTAACATGGATATATGTTGTCTTTCCCCTTCAAACCATGCCCTATTTTTTTCCAGTCATATTGTCCCTAAAATAAACAAAGAGGAATTGTTCTCCAAACAGACTGTATACTCTTTATCATTTTTTTGCGTTGCCATGTCATCAATATGCTCTCATTACTGGGAGGCATTAGCCACTTGACACCAAACATAACTATATTCTTATATAAAACCAAGTAACTAAATTCCTCATATTCTCATACTCTACTAATGGCTTAAGAAAGTTGAAATTATTTGACAACATATTTTGTCAAATGAATCCAACATTGAAGAAAACTAGGTCACTTTCTTGATTAAGGAACTATGAATTTTGCTAGAATATCCCTCATGAGTCTATCAAGAAATGAGACCTAATGGCATTATAATTCTAAATTCCGCCTCACCAATCCTCCCCCATTTACAAATTACAGAAAGGTCTTCCTAATTGTAGCAAAATAGGAGGGAGGTTAATTTTATTTGCACAAGTTGCAAATATTAAACCCAAAAATTCAATTTCGCATCAGAGATGTGGAAGTATCATGGAATTTGAATGTTGAATCTTGAGAGCACAGGGCTAAATTTTTGGTACCATAATTGTCTCTGGCTAGTTAATACACACTCTAGTTAACCCCAAAAAACAACCAAATAGAAATGGGAAGAAAAAGTAGTATAGAAAGGCACTCCCTTTAACTTCATCACCCCATAACTTAGAAGTATATCAATATTATAAACATCAAACTTACAACGAATATGCAAGAACAAATGATAATTTTATGGGATGGAAACACAATCACTATTTTTATTCTCAACCAACAGAAAAGAAATAAATAGAGCTTACTCCAACTTCTGGGTCTTCAATTTTCATATCTTCACAAAATGTCCGTGCAAATTCTTCAGGATCACCCTCAAAATTGTTCATGTCCTGAAATTATTTTATTTCTCTTTGTATTAGCAACAAATGAGGCAAAGTAGTTGCTAATTTGGTCACAGTTCTTACCAAAGCAAGATAGATAAAGACTGAAGAATGAGACATCCAACAACTTACCCATAAAATCTGGTCCTTTATAATTGTCTGATTTACTCGGAGATCAAGCTGGATGAGCCCGAAAAAGAAAGGGAAATAGATAAATACAAGTATCTAATTCAAATATTGAACCCTAGGCAGTTGAGACCACCAAAGTCAGTAAGATAGGTCTCTTTCACAGGAATTTTTTTTGGGATGGATAATCTTTCAACGTAATGTCATTAATATCAACAAAAACAAATGTGACAAACCTTGATAGGAACAACTTTCTCGCCAGTGTGCATATCTTTTCCTTCGTATGACCGAAATTCTAACAATTGGGACTACAAAATTGGAAAAGGTTAAACCAATAAGACTTAAGTTATAGGAAACAACAGAATAAGAAGCATGGACCCTAAGCAGTCCTTTTGCAATAGAGGTCGGCAGACATTAGAGTAATACAAAGTTTTTATCCAGCAAAAGAAATAACATACATAAGGAGTATCCTAGTAATACTTACATCCAAAAGCTGCAAAAGGAAAAGAACTCCTATGGAGGTCATAAGAACTCTAAAATGCTAAGAATATCCTCTGCATCTTGAGGATATTCATGTTTACACCAAAAAAAGAAAAGAACTAGGCAATTCAGCTTCAAATTCTGCATAGAGTAGCTCTTGTTTTTAAAAATCTCTGGTTCCTCTGCATCCATATAGACCACCAAATGCAGACATAAAGGATATTTTTAAAGATCAGTAAACATAAAACAACCAGAATATTTGTTGAGGTTTCTCCAAATTATACTATTCTGTAATAGTCAAAGACTTACATTAACATCTTATGAAGCCTTTTGGTCTTTTATCCAGATCTGCCTAGGGAGTTACTCACTCAACATGCACTCCAAGTACTCTATCTTATTCATGTTCAACCTGAACTCTTTAGACTGTCGAGTCTGTCTCCAAACATTCGTCCTTTCATTAACTTAGTCGTGTGTGTCCTCAATCATTACTATATCATCTATAAATAACATACACCTTGACAATTAACCCTAAATAAGCCGATCAGTTCATCTATCACCAAGGCAGATAATAACGGGCTAAGAGTTGATCCCTATGCAAACCATCTCGGATCAAAAGTGTTCCGAGTCTCCTGCCATTGTCCTCACTCGAGTCTTGGCTATATTTTACATGTTCTTAATCATCCAAACCGATTCAATAAACCGATTTTATTTGGGTTTGGTTGGTTTTACATTTTCAAAAATTGATAATATTTGTCTTTATCAAAAAAAATTTTTGATAATATTTGTTTTGGTTGTGTACAAAAAAAACCAAAGAAATAACCGAACCGACAACTTCTCTCTCTCTCTATATATATATATATAATATAATATTTTTTATGAACAATTGTAAATATCTTGAATATATATTAATCGAAATGTATTGATAATTTATTTATGAAAGCAATATGGCAAAGATAGCTTATCCCTACGGGGGAGGACCTCAACTCATTACGCATATGTAAAACCTCGCAAATTCTATGTTAAGGAAACCATTCGTTGAGACTGTATCTAATTGAACTGGGATATCCTCCTTGTACATGTGTGTTAAGGTTCATTCCTATTTGCATGAAGTGTATCAGATGTGGTTTAGGGTCATAAGGGACCTCTAACACCAAATCAAGTTCAAAGCATTCTATCAGCTAAGTTAATTTTGCATGACTTAATATAAGGGTTAATTTCAAACAACCATATCTTTTGGATTATAATGAGTTAGATGACCCATGATCTATCAAATTAAAAGTGTATCAGTCTTCTTTCCAATGTCACCGATCGTTTGTCAATCAGAGTTCAGAGTAAAAAGTTATGATCAATTTAGCAGAGATGCTCCAACTTGGTTAACAAGTCCACTATCAACTCCGCATCATGGAGAGGACGCGAACCTCGTTGTCCACTTGAGTAAATTTTTGTCTTCAAACACCGTGACACAGAGCAAACAAAGACCTAGTCCAAGATTCGTCATTTTTTTTTATTTTTAGGGGGTATTTTTTTCCTAAAAACCTTTGGGGAGTTATCCAAATGTCTCTAAGCGTGTAGGAGATCAGTTTTTATAATTGAACCCTCTCATTCACTCCTAAATTCCTATGCTCAAGAACTTCAAGAGAAACACTAAGGCCAGGTTTAACTTCCAAGAATCTTCATCAAATTACATCGCTAAGATATGTAAAGTTATCTCCATGTGTGGGAACACCTTGTTCTTCCCCATGAACTACATTTATGTGGTTTTAAGCCCCACTTTCTTGAATTGTTCTTGAGTCTTCATGAAAGCTTAAGAACTCTGCGTGAAAGCGTTTCAATTTCATGATAACTCTTAATCCATGAGTTTTCAAGATTTGCTCCATGAAATTATGAATAGTTATGAAAGTAACGGTTTCTATCTTGACAACTAAGTCTAATGATTTCTTAATGACTTTTTAATATTTCCTTAGTGGTTTCTTGATGTTTTCTCGATGAATTCTTGAAAATTATTATTTTATGAACCCTAAGCCACATCGTAGGTATCAAATTAAACCACATGATATGCTACTTGTACATGTGTGTTAAGGTTCATTCCTTTGTACGGGAAGCGTATTAAATGTGGTTTAGGGTCATAAGGGACCTCTTACACCAAGTCAAGTTTAAAGCATTTTTATTGGCTAAGTTTTCATATGAGTTAGTATAAAGGTTAACTTGAAATGACAATATCTCTTAGATTAGAAAGAGTTAGGTGACCTATGAGTCCATGACCTATCATATTAAAATTTTACGAGTCTTCTTTTCAATGCCACCAACCGTTCATCAATCGAAGTAAAAAGTTATGGTTGGTTTACTAGAGACTCTCCAACCTAACTGACAAGTCCGTTATCAGCTCTGCATCACGGAGAGGAAGCGGACTTGTCCTAGTACACCAATATTTGGACTTATATCACCCTCCTAAAGTCTCCTCTTTGTTGCGACCACTTAGGTATAAAGTCTCCTCTTTGTTGCGACCACTTAGGTACAACTATGTCTTTCTTTGGATTTGGCTTTGCAATTAAAATGAGAGATTACAAGGTTGTGAGGAATAAGGATGACCTATGCTCGTGGTGAAGGTGGGTACTTGGTGCCGCTTAAGGTTGAGATATATGCACTTAGTTTAAGAATTTGGAAGGAATTTAATGGTTTTATCCATACATTGGTGTTGTAAAGTACTTCTGGCCACAAGTTGTGGTTTGTAGGTAACTCCACTAGAATGCATACAAAAGAACTAGGGAGAGAAGGGTGATCAACTAAATAATGGTGTTTGGCCTGAATGAGGAAGTCAGCCACCAGTTAGTTACTCACCAATTAGTTACACATTTTTCATACGAATTAGCTCAAACGCGTTGGTAAAGTCAAGCATTACATGAGCACTCAAGTAATGATGTGATAGTAAAGAATAGATTGCATCAAAATGCTACAAGAATTGAGCTTGTAAACTTTCATTCAAGAAACACTAATAGATCAAAGTGAAACGGATAAAAGCCCATATTCCCTCTCATCGTGATGTTATAGAGTTTGTCCAATATTAGAACAAAAAAACAATCGTTTTCCCAAAACCAAATATTTATAATCGAAAAAAGGCCAATATGACATTACTTCCAGTAGCAGCCATTACTTCCAGCATTTGTGAGCCCCAGTTTGTCCTTCGATGGATTAGAAGTAATTAGCAATGTAATTTAGGAGCCAGAACTGGTCATATAGGTTATTTTGAGTGGCTATCAAATACTTAATAGTACTACTAGAGTAAGAAAGAGATCAATTTGAATGCCTTTTCCAAAGAAGGAGAATGAGCATATAATCAAAGTTCTAGTCTAAAAAAAGAATAGGTACAGTAACATAGATACGTTGAGATTGACTAGCAATGTAATTAAAGGAGAGAAGTGATCACATGGGAAATTTTGAGTGTCCATCAAGTATTTCATAGCACTACTAGAGTAAGAAGGAGATTAACTCGAATGCCTTTTCCAAAGAAGGAGAATGAGCATATAATCAAAATTCCAGACTTTAAAAAAAGAATAGGTACAGTCACATAGATACGTTGAGAGTGATAAGCAACGTAATTAAAGGAAAGAAGTAATCACATAGGAAATTTTGAGTGTCTATCAAGTATTCCATATCACTAATAGAGGAAGCAAGGAGATCACTTCAATGCCCTTTTAGTCTTCCCAACGAATGAGGCTACATATATAAATAAAGGCTCCAGGGCTTTGACAACTTAAAAAATCTGGCTTTTTATACAAAAATATTTGGCCTATTGTGAAGCAGGCTTGCTAGGCTCTCATCACTTTCATCAATTTTTTTTATGACTAATCCAACAACATTGATGCATCTCAAATTATAAGCCCTTTGCAAAAAAAATGCATGCATCATGATCTCAATATCAGAGATTTCCCTTATTCTGTTTCTAAATTGGATCAAAATTAGCTTCTTCTACAACAACCTATAAACATCTCAAAGGGAGGAATAAGATTTCCTGCCTTTAAAAAGAAATCCAAAGAATTGAAAAAAAATTAATAAATCCTCCATATGACTTTGAAGTTACAGAAATGAGCAGTTTGAGTTTTTATCCATACTTATATACTCTCTGCCCTTGCGCACATTTGGTAAATTATCAAATGGCACCAGTTTGACAACAATGCTAGATCTCTGTATGTTGGTTCCCATTAAAATGACACTGCTTTCCCCAGCAACGCAACATGTTTCCCTTCATGGACGTCATCACGATAAGTCTGATTCTTTCATGTCTAGCAATAGAGGCTCTATGACTTTTCACAACTTTCAAGGTTCACGATATTATGTATACAATGTGATGGATTTAGATTTCGGATAAAAATTATCAACTACAAATTATGATCTTTTTGTATGACAATGTTGTCCAGGCAAGCTCTATCACACATTACTATTCTGCCGGTACCTATACCTCACACCAACACAACTATCGGTATCTCTATCAGCAAAAACTTAGGCAAATAGAAAGAATCACCTAAGGTTTTTACAAGAAATTGCTCGTTGAAACAGAAGAATGAAGAATTGAAGATTGTCAAAATTTGTGCACATGGGGAGAGGAAGGAGAACAAAGAGCATTCCGAACAGACACTATTAATGATCTCAAAAAAAGAAGAAGACAAAAGCTCCGGCCAAAGGCCACAAGACTTGTATGAAGGCTGGTTGATTTGAACCAGCAAGGAAACCTTCAAAAGAAAATTATAGATCTAACCAACACCAAGACCTACATGTTCCAAAAACTTCTTATAAATTACCTGGATGGATTGAGCAATCTGAAAGGCAAAAGCAGTAGGAAGTTTCAAATCCTTTACAGTTCTCCTCGCAAACGCAAACACCTCTGAGTCAGGATCTATAATTAAGAAGTTCAAAGAGGCGCAACTGCTTGGTCAGTTCAAGGTGATATCAAGTAAAGTATAAATTTTCCTTCTCTAAAACTGATCAACAGAACCATTCAATATATCTATGGCTTTGTATGCCAAGCATCACATCAGAAAAAGCACTTTAGTAAAAAAGTTATCAAATATCAGAGTTTGCAGAGGTTTCAAGCTATCTTTTGTCAAACATAAGCCCTATAATATTAATCTTTGTTTTTCAAGATAGCACTCAACAAAGGTCATCATATATAAAGCCATTTTCAAGAATCAAGCACCCTAAATCCAAGTTTTAACACACCAGAGCATCCCTTAGGTTGCTAGCTTTTCCTGTGAAGGCTTCAGAGCGTTGTAAAGTCACCTGAAATAGTTACTAGTGTCTAAAAACAAATAAAAAAGCCATGGACTCGAATTCCATTGTTCTCCAACTATTTTCCAGATATTGCCTTCGATATCATAGTACCTCCCAAATGAAAAAGTCACTAGTTTTGAATCCCTTACCTGGAACTAGCATGTTTACCCAACTTGTTCACAAAATTTGCTCATTGATTATTCCTTATCATTGTTATCAGAAACCGAAATTTTCATTTGGACAATACAAATGAGTTGTGTTTGCATTTAACATTTAGAATAAAAAATTTGAACGTTGATTGAGAACTAACTAAAAGCATCAACTGCTTAGTAGGATACAATGCAGGAGCATAAAATCATTTGATGTATTACATAAATGTAAAAAAATAAATAGATAAAATCTTACCACTTGCGTTCCAAGTAAAAGCATCTTTAAATTTTTTACCATCAATTTCGATGTCAAGACGGATAGGTACAAGATTCTCGGCTGTTGGACTGTAATATAGATATAACTTTTGTTAAACATTATGAACAAATCATTTCTTACCATCACATATATGTATGCATATTAAAATTTAAAGGAAGAGAAAAATGAACAAGACGTTTACAGTCTGAACTTCACTGGGTTCTTCGGTGAACCCGATGTCGAAGGGGGTTTCATCATTGCTTCTTTCAATCTAGAAACAAAAAGATAATCTGCAATAAAGGAGTCTGGCTAAGCTTTTCTTCTACACAACAATTGCAACTTATAAACTTAGATAATGTAATTACAACATTGAGATTCAGAATTAATATAGCAAATAGTAATGAATCTTAACTTGTTGTAAGCAAATTCACAGTTATTATTTTGACACTTCACATTGCGAAAAGGATTTAGGGCTTTAGGTCAATTGAATACAAGCATCAGATATAGAATACGATGTCGGAGGGAGAAAATCGCCGAGGATGTCGCCGGAGAAAAACATAACGAAACTACCATTTGAAATTGGTTTTCCCGCTCAGAAATTTGGATGTACTATTAAAATCAAATATATAGCTAGCGTTTGGCCATACATTTTTAAATATTCTTGGCAAATATTACTTAAGTGAAAATAGGATTTGGGAAATATATTTCACCTTTTTAGAAAAATATGATTTATACCCATAAGTTTTAAAATCTATTAAAACTAACTATAAGTTTGTTTACAAGTCAATTGGATGTTCGTTACAACAATAACAAATAGTGTCCATGACACTAGAGCAATGTGGTAATTTGGAGTGAGTGCGACAAGCGTCATTCTATACATCGTGAAGTAGACGAAGCACATGTCTTTGTTACCTTGAGCTAATTTTTCATCATTTTCATCAACAATCATATCATTATTTAATATTCACTAAATATTTCATCACTATTTTAGTGTTCACGTAAAAAATTATGTAATACAACGCAAACAAGTACTACAGAGGGTGTTTTTATAAAAGATAAAATTTTAGGGTAAAATTTTAATTTTCAAAAGATCCCAAATAATGAGATTTGGCCTAAATAGTAGAAAAAACTAGTATTTGGGAATTTGGGGTATTTGCCAAAAATATTTGTCAAATAATGACAAATTGTATGGATAAACATTATTTGCCAATTCCCCCCCCCCCCCAAATATTATTTGGGAAATTTATGGCCAAACAGGCCCTTATAAATGGCTGTTATTTATATTTCGTAGTATAAAATTATAATTAAAATTAAAAATAATAATATATTTAATGTATCAAAATATACTCTTATTTTATATGCTTAAACATGCCGTCCAAAAAGTCAAAATTAAGAAGTTAGTAAAAAAAGATTGGTGCATGTTTTTTTTAAACGGATAATCAAAAGAAAATGGATAAATAAATTGAAATGAAAAAGACATAATTTAAGTGATTCAGTTATCTACATAAAAAATAAGTTTCTTGCAAATTCAATTAGTTTGTTTATAACGAAAAATTAAAAAAAAATAAGAAGAACAAAATAGACAAAGAATTTGGAGTCTTTAAAATAGTGGGTTGAAGAAAAAGAAGAAGGACGTGTACATGGGTGTGGGGTTATTTTCTTTTATAAAATAAATAAAGAAAAAGATGTTTAATCAAATAAGTTTTTAGTTATTTAATTAACACATACCAAGTGTCAAAAAAATAAACACTAATTTATTTTTAACAATTTTTTAAAAAAAGTTCACTCACGTGCTCAATAGCAGTGAGTTACACTGATTTCGTCACATCAGTGTTTTGTGTTTATAGATATATGTTTTGAACAATTGAGGTGTTCAATAGGAACAATTCCTAGTTGAAGTGTACAAGTGAATTGTGTAGACAACTTTAAGGAGTAGTACATGAATTAAGTCAATTCATTTTATAGAAAGAGAATATGAAATAACTAATACATAATAATTCTATACATCATTAATATCTATATAAAATAATACATAAATTTACTCTTAATTTTTATGTAATGACCCAAAAGGTCATTTTTAGATTTTTCATAAAATTATCATTATACTACCCCTGATATTCATCCCGAGTCATTTCTGAATGAATTTTGAAATCGGTTTTGAGTTTTGAGCGAAAAGTTGTGAATTACGAAAATTTTAGAGTTTTGAAAGACTAAGTTGTTAAAAGGTGATTTTTGGTGTCTTTTGGAGTACTGAGTCTTGAAATGGATTTTTGTCGATTCTATTAATTCTAAAATGTGTAAATGTGTTTCAAGAGAATTATCGATTTCAAATTTGGAGTCTTTTCGTTGATCTGAGGTCCTAAGTTAGAAATTTGTGAAATTTTATCCTTTGATTTGACTTTTATCAATATTCGGGGTTTGGATGTTCAGATTGGATTTTCAATAGTTTTGTTGAATTCAAGGGATGATATTTTAGGTGTAGGAGACGTATTATATGAATTTTTAGAGGTCCTGAGCTTGATTTGGCTTTGAGTGTTACTAATGAAGGGTGTGATGAGGTTTCGAAAGAAGGGCATGCTTAACCTAGATTCGATGACCCTTTTGAGATTTTGAGTCAGTGGAAAGGTGGCTAATAAGTTTTTCTTGCCACCTAGCTTGTCATTTGTGCATCATATATTGCATATTTTCATGCTTCAAAGTATGTGCCAGATAATTCTCATGTGCTTTCGCTTGATTCGGTTGTGTTGGATCCAAACTTGTCATTTGAGGAGAAGTCTATAACCATCTTTGATAGGCAAGTTCGAAAGCTTAGGAAGAAGGAGATTGCTTTAGTGAAGTTGCAATGGAAGCACCATTCAATTGGTGAGGCAACTTGGGAGAAAATTCCGACATTCATGGCAAATATCCTCATCTTTTTTAGGCTTTAGGTACTATTTTTTAATTTATGCTCGAGGACCAACATGATTTTTAGAGATGGATAATGAAATGACCATTTCAAGGTTATTTTTGAAATTTGTCATAAAACTATTATTTTATCTCTCTCGATATTGACCTCGGTTCATTTTTTAACAGATTGTGAAATTGATTTTGAGTGAAAAGTTGTGAATTATGGAAATTTTAGATTTTTGAAAAGCTACGTTGTTAAGAAATGATTTTGGTGTCTTTTTTGTTTTCGAGTCTATGAATGGAATTCCTTCGATTCCATCAGTTTCGGAATGTGAAAGTTGATTTATGAGTATTGAAGGTTTCATATTTGGAATGGATATGAGGTTCTAAGTTGGAAATTTGTAAAATTTAGCCTTTGGATTGACTTCGGTGAACATCCGGGGTTCGAATGCTCAAATCGAATTACCATTAGTTTCGGTAGATTTAGGTGTGATTTAAGGCATATGAGAGGTTTTGGTTGAATTTTCAAAGGTCCTAAGCTTGTCTTGACCTTTTTAGATGTTATGTTGTTCAATGTGACTTTCACAAGGTTCGTACCAAGGAGACCTCAAATTCGTGTTTGGATAGTTCCATTAAGTTTGGAACATCAAGTTAATCAAGCAATGTAATTGGTTTGTATGATGGGATTCTGAATGAATTCCGAGGACCCTTTCAAAGATTGGAAAATATTTATGTCGGCTAATGATTTCTAATGCCCCCAAACCTTGCAGTCGTGAATGGTCTTCACTTTCGTGAGTGTTGCGTTAGCGAAGATTAAATCGCGTTCACAAAGCATCACTTCCGCTAAGGCCTTCTCGATTTCGCGACCTTCACGTAAGCAAAAGCCCGCAAAAGCGAGACGAGATATTTTTTCAGGTTTCTCTTGCGAACTAAAGGTCACGAACGCAATGTTCGGGAAAGTGAACCAGAGTTCACTTTCGCAAGACCTCAGAGCATTCTTGGTCTGAAATTTTGGGGCTTTTCTCTATTTCTCATGTTTGAGCTTTGAGGACTCAATTGAGGTGATTTCCAATGGGTTTTCAAGATAAATCTTTTTGGTAATGAATTTTAATTCCCGTTTACTGTTATTCCTTAATTATGGCAAAATTTAATTACTTATATCACTAATATCACTATTTTGAACTGAAAACCTTTGAGGTTTTTAAGGAATCACTTATATTTCTTTGATTATGTGTAATAAATATTCCAAAAAGCCGAAGCAAACTTAATTGAGTGGAAAGCAAGAAAGAATTACTTTAAGCTAGGAATTCAATAGAACTCCAAATGTGATGGCAACCACTAAATGTATGGGTGTTTTATATGATATCACACTACAAGAAGTTCTATGTGATGTATCAATATCGAATGTAAGAGATTTGATAAAGGCTAGTAGATCAAATGTACATAGTCTAAACCTGATATTGCCTCAAAAGGTAGCAAAGGAAATAGTTAACAAAAAACAACCACCCGTTGACTCAAAAGATATGGACAATCCTTGGTGGATGCTAGAATCAAATAGTACTTTTTTGTTAAGTCTTTATGAGAGTATGTAAGGCATAAGGAGGAGCCTAATCCAATTTTAGAGAAGTTAGCATTGGCGGATGCTTGAATCAAATAGGTACTTTTTGTTAATTCTACATAGTAGTATGTAAGACATAAGGATGAGTCTAATCCAATTTTGGAGAAGTTAGGGGGTAAAAACATTACCTTTTAAAATTGTTCTCTTCATGTGGAGAGTGTGGAGATCTAAGGTACTAGTGAATGATAAAATTTGGAGATAGGGATATAACTTGTCTTTAAATGTTGGTGTTGTGGCAAGTATGATCAAGAGACAACGTCTCACCTTTTCAGGAACTAATCTACAACTAACAGGATTTGCTCCTACGGTTTTATTTTGCAAGTATAAATGTATATGGAAGACACCTAAGAGAAATAATCTTAACTTGGTGAAATTTTATTTTTTTTTAAAAAATGAAATCTTACTTCAGAGCAATTCTTAATATGCTATAATGAGAAATATAGAAAGGAAAATAATTATAGCCAACATAAAGGAAAATTGAACTCTACTCATACAACAATATTTTAGGTTACTCAAAACTTGCTTAGATTACTAAAGTTTAAAAGACAAAACATGGAGTATCTAACAGAATGGACAAACATATTGAAAGCACTAAAAGAAGACATTCCGCAGATGAAAGAAACAAAAGTACTAGGAGAACTACTACCTGGGAAATTCCTTAAGTGCAATATTAATGGCATATCCCAGGGCAATCCAAGGAGAAAATCATATGTCTTTTGTGTAAGGGGTGATGAGGGAAATGTGATATGTGTGGAAGTTAAAGAGAAGAAGTAGATAAAAACACAGAATCAGAAGTTAAGGCCATACTTGAAGCATGTAAATATATACAAGCATAACAAATTAAATAGGTTATCTACAATCAGATTCATTGTTTCTTGTGAATATTATGACTGGTAATGGAAGACTCCTTGGAATATTATGATTTGAGTGTAGGAGATACAACGTATCAAACAGGAGATAAATTAAGATTACTCACATTCTAAGGGAAGCTAATAAAGTTACGGATTATTTGACTCATAAATGTTTATATAATGGAGCAATACAAATCAATATTTCCAAGAATTGACATTAGAAGGGAAAGGTTGATAAATGGTGACAAGTTACTGAGAACAACAATAAAGTGGTAGATGCAAATTTAGTTTTAGGATTCAACAACAAGGAAATACAGAAAAAAAACATTAATGGCAGCACGAGAAGAAGATCTAGCAAAATCAAGCTCAAAAGGACAAGAATATAAGCAAATGAGGAGTACCTGATTATAAAAAAAACTCGTGGAGATCAACAATCACAATAGATTATAACAAAGGAGAAATATATCTCAGCAATAAAGGGCAAATGAAATAATGAGACACAATATACAAGCAAGAAGAAGAAGAACAAGCAAAATCTAGAGTGCCTTTACCTTAATCGGCTGAAGAACAAGCAACAATGGTAGAGATTGAGAGAAAGCGACAACAAAATTCTAGTGTTAGAACTAGGGTTTTCAGTTCTGATTAGTATTTATAATGCTGTCTTTTGGGTTGGACCTGAATGGATCTATTTTGGGCCTGGTCCAATTGGAACATGTGTATAGGGGATTATTTTTTTCATTCAAATAAAAATTCCTAAAGGCAATATAATTTATTTAAAAAAATGTTTTGAATTGGGATTATGTCCATGTCTTGAGTTTACAAATATGTACATATTGAAATATTTGGAAATACAAAATTGCAGTTATCAAAAATAAAATTGTGATAAATATATGTGTTTATTTTCTCAAGGAAATAAGTTTGTTTGCTAACTTAAGTGAACTAATCTTGTCATTTTAATTATTTAAATAAGATACCAATAATATTTAATTAATTATATATATGCTATCATGCGTAAAATAATAATATAATCCCGCTTAACTTGTGCTAAGTATTATTTCAATGGAAAAAGATTTACATAGTGTTTCATAATGTAGTGTATTCTATTGAATTGTATTGTGTTGTTCAAATGAATACAATGTTTGAATATATTGTATTGTTCTCTATCTTTACATAATGTCATACATTCATAATTTGAAGGACAAATCTACAAGAAAAATAAGGTACCAGGTAGAGCTATTATGAAAAGATAAGATAAAGTACAAAATAGAACTGTTAAATAATTAATAAAGACAAAAATGAGACAAAAATATTAAGGTGATGATGAGATCACACCAAACTGGTTGTTACATGATGAGTTTGAGATTTCGGCCCATTTAAGACTTATTATTTAAAGAGTTAGCATCCTGAATGCCTATTTTATGCTCATAACTGATGTTAATATGTTGATATGCATCAATGAAGTCTTAAGAGTGAGGCATGAACATTATAATGCAAAAAGAAACGAAAAGTTGAAAAAGTTGAAGAAAAGAAAAGTGGAACTCATTAAAGCCACTCAGCAACTCACCGAGTAGGCTTCCAACTTGCCTAAGGTTCCAGCAAAATAGTCCATGGACAACATCAACTTGACGAGCAAACAAACAATTTGATGACACGCCGAATGGGTTGGCGATAGTAATCAAGCTCGCCAAAAGTTTTAGAATAATTTGATGGAGGAGTCAAGCCAAGAGATTAGAAGAAGAGAACCTCGGTGGATCGCCGAGTTGACTCTGTGCAGAAATTTTAGGAATCTATGAATAAAGTTTTTCAAAGAAGAAAAAGATTTCCCACACTTTTACTTTGGATTTTTGGGAGTTTTCAAATTCTAGAACATTGTCTTTACATTTTTATTAGAGTTTGGATTTTAGATTCAGAGATTGTAATATTTTGGCTTCGATTTCAACATTTAGGGATTGAGGATCATTAGCAAATCCAATGGGAAAGTTTGTTGGTAAAGATTTCTTCCTTGTCATTATGCATAGCTAAAACTCCTTACCTTATGGGTGTGATTATATAGTTGAATGTGTTAATTAGCTAACGGGTGTTGTTAGTTTTTTATTTTAATGTTGTTTTGAAGTGGGTTCAATTAATTGTTCATGATTTTATTGAGGAGTTGTAGTTGCAAATGCAATTCTAGCTAAGTTCTTTATGCTTGCTTGAGAAATAAGTTATGAGTAGAATGATTGATTGATTGTTGTTTTGATTGCGTCTTTAAAATCTATCTTGAGAAAGTTGGTTTAATTGTGTCTTTACAAACCTATCTCGAAAGAGTTTGTTAATTAAGGAGTTGGGTTGTTTGGATATTCTATGCTTGTTAAGGTTCGAGAGAACTTACTTGAAACTCAATAGTTGATTGAGAAATGACTACTGTGTTCAAAACATAGCCTACCCATTGATATTCAATAACTTTAAGCAACTGGTAATCACCCATTACACGAAATTAGCATTCAATTGATCACACTCCTAAGGTTCAATCTATATTTATTTAATTCTCATGCTTAGCAATCTTTGCCTTATTGGTTACCAAATTCTCCCATTTGACATTAATCGTTGGAACATTGAGATTTGTTTTCATGTTGCAAATTTTTTACTTCTATAAACGATTTCACTCCTTGTGGGATCGACCCCATCTCTTAGTTGGGTTTATAATTGTTAGTGACCGCATATACTTAAAATTGGATGAAGTGTAGTTGAGTTTTATCAAAAATGTTGTTGTTGTCGAGGAGTGATGTTCAGAATTCTTTTATTAAAGTGTATTCGTGAACTAATTTTTATGTAGTTGAATTATCTTATTAGTGTTCTTCTTGGCTGCTCTAAAATTGAGTGTAATGGGAGTAACACCAGTCAACTTGGGAACAATAATGACATCATGAATTTGCATGATGTCAATAAGGATCAGTTAGGAAGTACAGGTGCTATTCGATTGCCTCCAACTATGGGCAATGCGGTGTTTGATGTGACCAACATAATGTTGTAGTTATTGCAAATGAAAGGTATCTTTGGAGAACTTGATCACTGGACCCGCATGAACACATCTAAAACTTTATGGATGTGTGTGAACTATTTTCCTTCGATAATATCACTCGAGAGTCAATCAGACTCCATTGGTTTCCCTTTTCTCTAATAAGGGAAATAACAAAGTGGTTGACCGAACTACCAAGGGGTTTGATCACTTCAGAGGTGATTTATGAAAGGTTTTTCGCTCCTTTGAAGATGGTTAAGTTGATAATAGTATTTAGAACTTGAAATGGATTGATCGTGAGCCCATCCATGAAACATGGTTAAGGTTCCAAAAGTTGTTGCTTTAATGTTCAACTCATGGGTTGCCAAAAAATACGTTATTGCAATATTGTTATCAGAGTCTGGACACGCTCAATAAAGGTGTTGCAGACCAACTCATTCGGGGTGGAATCATAAGATAATCGTTTGACCTAGCATCGGCCCTCCTTGATGAGATTATGAAAATTAATCTGCATGGTACACAAGAGAAGATGTCTGATTTAAATCTTAGGCTGACGAAGAAACAAATCAAAATGAACCAAGAGCGAGATGAAAGCATGGCTAGAATGATGACAGAGCATGTCATGAGAGATGGTCACAAGATTGTAAATACAGTCAGTATTAATAGTAGTGTAAACCTTGATGAAGCAAACTTTAAGGCAATGTACAATGAAGCATTGTAGTTCTTGGCGAACCAGGGGGGTTATCGTCAAAGCAATCCAAGGTCGGGCGGAAATCAAGGTTGGAATATAGATCACGATGATTGTTGGAGAGATAGAGATCGTGAAGGGCGTGATCGTGGTACAAATTCGAGGGATCGAGATGGCGACAAAGATCATTATGTGCCTCCCCATAAATGTCAAAAGGCAAAAGAACCTAAGACTGATCTTGAAAACTTTTATATAGAGGATATGTTTGCTCTTATCTTGAATAAGGTAGAAGGATTGGACAAGGTGATCAAGGAGATGAAAGATCTCTTTGCGATCACATCATACTCGATACCGTTAAGAAACTTGAAACGCATATGGGTCAAAATCTCAGCTCATTTAAATCCAAAAACAAAAGTGGGGATCCCAAATGATACTTTGGTGAACCTGGATAATGAGGCATGATCACATGGTCACATTTTGCCATGTCGTTAAATAAGGAGCTTCTTGGGAGGCAACCCAAGTTATATTTTGTGTTTTTTGAATAATGTTTGTTAAATGTGCAAGTGAAAAATTAAATTTTGGGAGGAAAATGCTAATGGTGAGACCATAGCTCACTCTGCGACTCCCCGAGTTGTTCGGCAAGTCTGACATGGATCGCCCTTTAGACCAACTATTGAGGTTTGGTAAACTTTGGTGTGCTAAAATCCACTTGGCGCATCACCGAGTAAATTAACGACATTAATGAAGCTCACCGACTGAGGTGCAAACTGAAGGGTCAAAATATTTTAACCGTTTTAAATTTAAAACCTCTCCTTATTTTGAATGTTTCTATCTTTGAACTCTTACAATCATATTTTAGATTTTAGCTTTTACTAGAGATTTTGTGGGTGTGTTCGTGTGATCAGAACATGTTGCATTGCTCTTTTTTTGCCTTTTGCCTTAACTTTTGTTCTTGTCTGCATTGAGGTTGGTGTCTTATATGTTTCTTTACTTTCATGATTTCTTCTTAGCATGATATTGAGCAGTTAATGGATCTATTTTATGTTTTGATTGTATGTTTAATTTATTGTTGCATACTATTTTATAATCGAGCATCTTAGATATTGTGTTTAGTCAAAATTAGTTGATTTTGTGTGTGAATTGTGTAAGTTGTGGTTGTTGTATATTGGGTTTTGTGTGGGTCAAGTCTTGGTAACCCGAATTCCATAAAACAACATGAATTTTTCCAATGATAGACCGAGTGATGTCATTCTTAAGGGCAAAATCTTTGTTTGGTTGAATTTAAATCAATTGGGGTAGTCTTAGTACCCTGGTTTATCATTGCACAGTGGGTAGGCCTTGAATTGCGTAGGTTTGTGTTCAAATATCATTGTCATAGGTTAATGGTTGAAAAATTAAAAATTGGACTTGGAAGTTGACATGTCAAGCCATATGGCGAACTAAATCGAGCTCGCGGAGTGACTCGGTGTCACTGAATTGCCTCTTAATTGCCTACTTCACCTGAATTAATGTTGATTTTTACTCTGATTTTCAGCGATAAGCATATGCTCGTTGAGTTGACTCGATGACTCATCGAATAACACTAACCTTGCCTTCTTGAAGCCTTATTTTTGTAAATTTATTCTGTGATTTTTGGTGAACCTTTTTTGCCTTACTGATCAAGTTCGACATCTTATTGTATGGCTTTTTGCATTATCGATTTGTGTTGAATTGTTGTTTTTGTGTTGTGTTACTTTGGGCGAGTCATTTGTTTCCTGCTGAATGATATCTACGACTCATCGAGTGGTTTGGCGAGTTTTTCAGCACCTTTTTGAAAATTGATGTTTCAATATTCATTTGGCAGCGCATTAATTTTGTTTGCTCATTTTGATAGATATGATTAGACAGAAAGTTCTAGAAAAGGTTCCACCACCCCAAAAAGGGTGAAAGGGTTGTTATT